TTTTTTTCATGGGTAATAACGAGGGATGCCGAGAATGAGGTGAGCTGCCAACAGCATTTAAGTGCGGTTGAGAGATTGGAGAAGAGCTGTTGAGTGTGATTACAGAGTAAGAGATGGGAAAAGATAAACGTTGCACAACAGGTAGTGAAGGTGAGAGGTTGAGGAGAATCAGATATGAGGAACAGATAGCTTGAACAGAATTAGAGATGAAGAACAAAAACAAAGTTACAACGCCAAAGGAGAGGAGGAATCTGAAAACTTCAACAGTCTTACTAGGGTTACTAAAATGAGTTATGCAAATTGGGCTGGGCAATTAGGTTTGGGAAGACTAGATTGACTAGAAGTGCAAAAGGAGTGGGCTGGACTAGACAATTGGGTTTGGGAAGACTGGAAAAAGAATGAGTTGTGAAATTTAGGCTGGATTGCTATTGGGTTAGCTAATTAGGTTGGGTGAGTAAAAATCGATTGCTAATATATTTACAAAATATATATATATAAATAAATTTATATTTTTTTAATTTTATATGGGTCCCCACAAGTCCCAAGGGGTAGAGGAAATTTCCTGTGAAATTTCACGAGGAAAAAAGTGCCCCCATCCCCGTCCCATAGGGAGGAACATTCTCGAAATCTCCATCCCAGTGGTGGAGATCTCCGCTGGTCGTGGAGGAAATTGTTATCCCTGCATTTAAGTATATATTTGACAAAAATTAAAACTCTGGATCCTTAAATGAACGAATAAAAGTTATAATCTGTGACTAAATTTACAAATTTATAAGAGTGACTAAATAAAATTTATTTTACTATTTGAATTATACTAAACTATAAAACATGGACTCATTAATAAATGGGTTTTACTTTCTTCTAATGTAGCATACTCCAATATTTCATGCCACATTGATGCAATTCCAAGTTTTCATCATAAAACTGATGGAAAATTGAAAAATGAATGCAGGAAAATTTGTAATTAAGTTGTAGCCGAATTTTTAAATTTATAAAATTAGTAACTAAAATGAAAATAAACTTCATATTTTTAAATCAGATTATATAATAAAAGTGCATTCTAAAATACCATTAATAAATTAATATAAATAAGAGAGTATTTTATTTGCAATCTATCTGAAAAACACTCTTTTGAATGAAAATTGAAAATCATGAATAAGTTCAGTGGCCTCTAGTGCTGTTTAGCAAACATGATAATGAGACTCAATTGAAACTATTTAAAATTTAAGGATTGAACTAGAATTCATTTTTAAAAACTGAGGTAACAACGAATTTCATTTTCTGTCACAAATCGTTTTTCTTCGACACACCCCTGAAATTCTCTTCACCTATCCTCCATCTCTCAGACAGCCATGGCTACCTTCTCTCAGAGGTGAAGAAAGGATTGAACAATCCACGACACTGTTTTACTTCTTCATTCGTTCGATGGTAGCACTATCTCTCTGTAAGTGTGGAGCGTCGTAGATTATATCCACTTCTCATCTTCCAAGTTTCGTCCATTCTTGAATCATTTGATTTGCAGCGTTGATTAGAACTTCGAGTTTCAATTATTACTTTATATGAATGTCAAAGTGAAAAAAATGAAACTTAGATGCAGAAATGAAGTGCTTGAATAACTACAGAATTGTGTGAATTCATGGTGTGCTGCACATGTTTACAATGTGTTCGATAAAATGCGTGACTGAGGCTATGAACCTTTTTTTTTTTGTTTTTCGTCTTTGTTCAGGTCTGGCGGAGCACGTCAACTCTAGTTGATTCCACTAGTACCATTTCTTTGTGTAATTCATAACAATCAACATATCAAGTACCCATGGCACTTGCCATTTCTTGCCAAAAGGAGAGTTTATTCAGCTCCAGCTTCCTGCCGCAGAGCCCATCCTTGATACGCATAAAAGGCAACAAAAATTATCTGCCCTTTAATAAACCCAGCAAACTCTCTCTTTCAATTGCTTGTTCGTCTATCAAAATTGTTCGTAGTCCTGCACTAGACAAGCATGTGGTTAAGCAGAACAGGATTCGGTTTGTCCAAAAGCTGAAAACTTTACTACTTTCTAAACCAAAACACTACATTCCACTTCATATACTGTCCAAATGCCGGTCTTACCTTTCCTTGCCGAAGCCTCGCTCTATCCTTACAATGATCCATCGTTACCCATCCATTTTTGAACTATTCAGGATACCAACGCCTCCCACACCACTCAATGCTACAAAATCAGGATATCAACTTTGTGTCCGTTTAACTCCGGCTGCCGCATCCCTTGCCACCCAAGAACTGAGTCTCATGTCAGCTAAGTCTTCTATCTTGGCCACCAAGCTACAGAAACTTCTCATGCTCTCTTCCCATCGTCGGCTGCTTTTGTCTAAACTTGTTCACATTGCCCCAGATCTTGGCCTCCCTCCAAATTTTAGGTCCCGCCTCTGCAATGACCATCCAGACAGATTCAAGATTGTGGATACCTCATATGGCAGAGCACTTGAGCTTATTGAATGGAATTCGGACCTGGCAATTCCACTAAAATCTCCTGAAGTTAACCGTGGGTTGATTGTAGATAGGCCTTTAAAATTCAAGCAGCTGAGACTTCGGAAGGGGCTGAATTTGAAGAGACGTCACCATGATTTTTTGATCAAGTTTAGAGAATTGCCTGATGTCTGCCCTTATAACAGCCACATGGAAGACTTTGCCAAAACATCCACTGAGGCGGAGAAAAGAGCCTGTGCAGTGGTAAGAGAGGTATTAGGAATGATGGTTGAGAGGAGGACATTAGTCGATCATTTGACGCATTTCAGGAAAGAATTTGAGTTACCAAACAAGTTGAGGGCAATGATTGTGAGGCACCCAGAGTTATTCTATGTAAGCTTGAAAGGCTTGAGGGACTCTGTGTTGTTGGTGGAGGCTTTTGATGACAAAGGTGTGCTTTTAGAGAAAGATGATGCTGCGGTGATAAAAAATCAGCTAATGCAATTGGCTGCTGAAGGAAAAAAGATGAGACGAGAAATGAGAAAGCCCAGCATTAACAGTGAGGTTGTCAGTGAGGATGATGATTACAATGGTGAAGATAGTGATTATGATGATGGTTTTGAGAATTTGTTCGAGTCTGAAGATTCCGATCTTGATTATGATTTTGGCAATGAAAATGGTGAAATCAATGAGTTGTCAATTAAGGAGGAGAATGAAGAGTTCTGGACTGCAAATGATTCCCTCGTCAATATTGCTGAAGAAGCAAAATGGAAAGAACCATGGTAAAGATGAATGATTTCCTAAAGTTTTGAATAGCATATACCTGATTAACATAGCAAGCACAATACAAACTGGTAAAGGGTGCTTGCCCTAGCATGGTCCATCACCACTTAGAAGGGAACAGTGTCTGTCTCTTACCTGGAACCACCAAGATTAAAAACTCGAACCACAACATGTGAACTTGGTCTGTCGAACTCACACCAGAAGAAATGGCTGAACGTTTTAGAATTCATTGCCTCCAAAGATGCCATAAGGGGAGACAGATACACATCCAGCTGTGCTCCCTACAAGAAGTCTGAAACTTTACACCTCTCTTCGGGGGGCAACCTGAATCAAGGCATGTCTTTATCCATATCTATTCCACTTACAGTCTGTTCTTAACTTTGTATAATGTCTTTGGGATTACTGTACCTGTGAATAGCTTTGCTCTGTGAGATGTCATGGACATTTTGTTCTGGAACTCTAATTATTATGAGATTTTTATTGTTAAGATTGTATATTCAAAAGCAAGAAAGGACACGAGAGAGAAACAATACATATTGAACTAAGTTCCACCGGTACATTGTTGTTATATTTCAATGATAACAGATTAATTTTAAGTAGCCACTCGGTACACTATAGTACTTGACATGATCACTATACATTTTAAATCAAACATTTCAACTTTCTGCACTCATTCGAGTTCACTTTCAAGCAATAGACCATATCTTTTGAGCTCAGACTTAAGCTTCAACACCTCATCCTCAGGCAAAGTGACCGTGACAATCCTTCCTTTGGAATCTTCCAGCCCTGCTGATTGCACCAGAACCATCCCTTCATCTCCGACACCATGCGGAGAAAAATAGGTCATCTTCGGTTTCTCTCCATTCAACTCCAGTCCATACAGGTCTGCATCTTCCAAGTTCACAAAAGTTAGTCTTGCTCCATAGACTATAAAATCAGACACCCCATCGTCCTTCTCCACCACCTCTTTGATCTCACTTCTCTCATCCTTGCCCTGCTCCGCCAGTAGCGCCACCAGCTTTTTCAAATCCGCTTCCTTCACAGCAAAATCCGCCTGAACAGTACTTACGATTTGAGCATTGCTCGGAACCCACTTTCTGGTCTGGCAGGAGGGATCTTTCTTGCAAACTGTTACAATCTTAGGTTCAAATTCTCCCCTGACTTTAGCTAAGGATTGCCAAATAAGGGCACAGAGGGACTCAAAAACGTTCTGATTCTCACATGAAATCTTTGCTTGTACTTTTGATAGTTGTGCTGGAGAAATGTGGAGGGAAAATGTTTCCATTTTGCAGTTATTGACAGTTACCCAGAGGTCTCCAACTGGGTCGACCCGCTTGATGGAAATGGGTTCGTTGCCATGTTGGGCCTGATTATCCAGTTTTCCCTTCTTAGTGGGTGTTTCTGCAAGCTTGGGTGGCTCACCAAGCCTAAGCCCAGCCTTGTACTGGCCATACCTGTTGATAAAATCTGAAGCTGAAAATGCATCTCCAAGGATGTGGGCCCAGCTTAAGCCCAGTGACGCCCCTCCACACTTGAACCGAGTCAACTACAGAAGCATTCAATGACAGGCATGGATGAAACAGACAAGTGTCCTAACTTTTCCACAAGTGAACAAGTAATAAAATTCTAAGAGGGTGTGCAGTTTTGCGTATGCTATGGATAAATTATACGTTTTATAATTATTTATAATAAAATTATTATAAAATTTAGAGATTTGTTTTCTATTAATAATTATAAAATATGTATTCATTTATTTTTTTAATTTTCATATTTTCAAAATTTATTTCTTTTTTTTTTATTCATGCTTGCATTTGTTTTTGTTTATATATAACAAGAATTCATACAATATGTTTGTTAATGATATTTATCCATAGAGCAAGTAACATCAAACAAATAGATATATAAAAATCCACACATATCATCGGTTAATAAAAAATCAAATAAAAACTATCATCTTGTCATGTTTTTTCAACAAATATTGTTTAGAATCACATCCAAAAAAAAAAAAAAGCTTTACAAACATTCTCAATAAATTGTTTTCATTATTATTTATAATAAAAATTAAGAATTCAAAACAAGTAATATTATAAAACAGATATATAAAAATTCACACATTTTCATCGGTTACAAAAAATTCAAATAAAAACTATGACCTTGTCATGTTTTCAACAAATATTGTTTACAATCCCATCCAAAAAAAAAAAGAAAAAAGAAAAAAGAAAAAAGAAAGAAACAAATATGGTTTACAAATATTCTCAATAAATTGATTTCGTTATTTATAATAAGAATCAAGAAATGAACCGAAACTTCATCAAAAAAAAAAGAATCAAGAAATTCTCAAGTTGCGTACCTGCAGGAAAACCGTGGGAGAAAAAGATAACTCAGGTCCAAGGGGCTGATGATAAACAAGCAGATCATTATAGGAGATGTAGTCTTCCATCTCCAGCCATTCCTCCACCGTCTTATCGCACTGCGCTTCCACGAACCTGGCGCCACAGTCGTTGCACTTGATGTAGGGCCGACCGCCTTCCGATCTCCTCACCCGGCCGCACGTCATGTAGTACTCATTAAGACACCAGAACATGGCGTCCTTGATGTCCTTGATGCTCAGCCCCTGCATTGCCTGGCTGCTGAACCAGTATACCCCTTTTATGTAGTGAAGCTTCATTGCTAAGTCCATGGACCCAAGGTGGTGAACCACATCGGTGCCGGTCACGTGGCCAGGTCCAACGGAGGAGAGGCGGATGTTGTAGACTAGATTGTCATCTTTGGGAGAAACCATGGTTAAGAGGGTTTGAGGTGGGGTTGAGTGGAACTATAATGATAACTTTGATGCTTTACAGGAGAGTATATATGGACCATAAGAAGGAGAGAGACGGTTGCGTGGCCGTTGTGGGGATTTAATGGGAGGCTAACGTGGGCCTTTGGTATTGATGTTGTGAAAGTAGAGGCAGTTGGCTTAAGTCAATTTCATTAAATCTTGTGTGGCCAAACAGTTAAAAATTAAAATTTAGCTTAAAATATGTAGTGCGTAATAGCGGTAATAAATTACAGATATTAAAAGGTAGTTAATAGATAATAAATAATAGTTTTTTTTTAAAACAGTATAAAATTTTTTCAGAGAAAGAGGAAGGGAAACTTGGGATTTGATTCCAAATTTCTCTAGTCCTAAGCACGTCCCACATGGGGATGGTCAGTAGGTCACTAAGTGCTGAACAATAGTAAATAATAGTTAATAGATAATAAAAAGTGAATAATGAATAATAAATAATAGAATTGATTTTTCTAAGTTTAATGATTCATCTTTAAATTTTAGTATTTGGATAAAATTGATAAAAAATTTAAGTCTTACCAACTACTTGAATATTCATATTTAATATACTGCTATTGGTGTTTCTCTCAATCCATGAGTTTGACCCATGCCCTTTCCCCTTCCACCTTCCCCCTTTCCCTATAATTGCACTTATTAAAAAAAATATCTATTTATTAGAGATGTTAAAATTAATGTTAATTTTTTATGTAAATTAATGCATAATTAATGATAATAATGTATAATAAATATACCATTATTCTATGCCATTAAAGTACATAATAAAAAAACTCTTGTAAATAAGACGAACTGTTATAATTTGAGTTTTACTAAATTGTGAAATTAAAGTCATTACTCATTAGGTTGGAGAGAGCTCTTAATGTTATAAGATTTATTTTTATTTAATAATTAATGTTATACAATTTAAATTATACAATAATTTTTTAAATTTAAAAAAAAAAAGCCTCTCAAACTAAAGGAGATTGGTTAGGTGACATAATAAATTATTGGTGTCACACAAAATTTTAATTTTATATTTTAAAATATTAATTTTATTTAGTTTAATTATTATAAATAGTTAATAACTATAATTGTTAATCAATAAATAACAAAATAATTTTTTTTTTTTGAACGTGGGCAATTTGGGGAGGGGGAAGGGGAAGGGCGGTTTGAACCCTACTCCCTAAGATGTATGCCCTTTAATAATATTTAAATGGTTATTTGAGTCATTTGGGTTTTTTAAAAAATAATAAAATAATTAATATTTGTTATTTAATAAATTAAAATTAATATTTATGTTTTTTTATATAAATT